GCCATGCCAGCACCCTGTGACTAACAAGGTGTGTTTTGCACCTTTTCCTGTCCTGACGTGGCTGTGCCGCGACAGGGGGTTGGTGCAGCCCCATCCCACCATTTCCTGCCCCACCCACATCCATTCTTTTCTCCCTCTCATAGTGCGGACGCAGCGCTGAAAACTTCGACCGGTTTTTCACTCGCCACCCACCCGTGCTAACACCTCCCGACCAGGAAGTCATCAGGAACATTGACCAGTCAGAATTCGAAGGATTTTCCTTTTTTAACTCTGAGTTTTTTATGCCTGAAGCCAAGAGCTAAGTAGCTGTGTAGATCTCATCCCCACATCCATCATCCAGTCCCAGCTGCCGTTGTGGTGACATTTTCCATTGCGAACCTTGCATCCATGGATTTTCTTCAGTTCCTTACTAGAGTGACCATATTTCAAAGCCAGAAGTGTCTTCCTGTGATTTGGGGTGTCCCTGGAGGGGAGGTGATGTGCAGGAAATGCTGCAAATGGGCTTTTGTGATGGTTTTTTTTGGTAGAAAATAGGACCAGTTCAGTGAGTGATGGAAGGAAAACAGAGACACAGTGGCAATTGGGAGAAATCTCTTCATGTGTGTTTTAATTCCTGCTCTTTCATTTTTTCTAGTCTTTTAATATAATCATGAAAATTTCATATTTTGCCTTCTTAGCCTTAGTGGCAGGTAAGTGTTTTTAATGGAACCTTTCCCCAGAGCCTTTTGGCTCCTCCCAAAACCTCTGGAGAGCCAAGATGCTGATTCTGGCTCCTTTTTTAGCTGTGTCCTGCTGTCTGTCCAGGCCTACCACAGCTCCCCTTCCCTCCAAAGATGCTTTGGGATGGCATGTTCCCAGTGCTGGGTCCCCAGCAATGGGATATGTTATTCAGGAAGGCAGAGCTGCTGTTGGCAAAGATTTCTCCTGATTGTACAGTCCTAAGTGGCATTTTTTTAATCAAAACAAACAATATCCAGTGCTAAGTGAGAAATTTGGAAGAACTGCTTTTGAATCCATGGTCACCCCAGTAAACACCACCAACACCAGTTCTATAGTGAAGCTTCCTCTTCTTTTCAAATGCCAAAGCAATTGATGGAGTTTGTTACCTGTGCTTTAAATGTGTCAAAAAATGGTATTAACCCAAACGGGACCTATTTAACTCTGACCAGTATTGTGAATTCTGATATGAGCCTTGTAAAGAAACTTGTTTCAGCTATTAGTCCTACTCTTAAAAATTGCCGCTAGATATTTAAGTGGCCTGAGTTTTGTTTCTGGCCTCGAAGGAAACGTTTCAGGAAGGGTGAATTTCTCTTGAAACAACAACAATCACACCACTTCCTTCTATGCCCTTGCAGATGTTTGTGGGCTGTCACTGTATCAATCTGCTTTGACTTGTAATGTGCCAATTTTTTTTTTCTGACACTGATTATAAAATAAAAAGTGAGAAACTATGTCCAAGAAACCCGCATGTGTTTGGCAATAATGAGTTTCTGCAGTTCAGTGAGGCAATTCCAGGAGTTGAGGCTGCACCGCGCCGAGGGCTGGAAGGTTCCCTGAACACGGGGGGATGCCGGCTCAGGGACAGCACAGGCAGCACTGGAGCCATGGCCTGTTCATCCTCTACAGCCTTTGTCCCAAAAAAACAGAGGTGGGATGTGCTGGAAGCATCGTCCAAGCAGGGGGTGATTGTCCAGTCCCCTGCACAGCCCACGCTGCGCAGCGACGGCCCCACTCACTCGTGGACTCCAGCATGGACAGGGAAGGAGCTTCTCTGGGATGACCCTTGGAGGAAGGACGATCTGGGGTGGAGGATGGCAGAGCTCTGCCACTTGGGAATGTCTTCCAATGCCTTAAGCGGAGCCGACTGCGGCATCGCCTCGGATTTCTGGAGACTGCAGAGGCGAGCGCCCGGCGTGTGCCGGTGACTCATCCCTGCCCCGCTCTCCCAGGAGCAGTTGTTCAAAGCAATTGGCAGTTTCAGCTAAAGAGGGATTACAGGTTCCTGTTAACCTCCCTCCTGAGTGCCGGCAGAACCTCCCTCCTGCCTTTGGGATTCCGCTTCTGCCAAGTTCTGCGGGTCTGGACACTGCGAGATTGTTCCGAGAGCACCGAACGGCGGCACCGACAGCACCGGCAGGAGCTGACCCAGAATCCTGCACCTGGGCAGCCCCAGAGCTCTGCCGTGGGAAAGGGGCTCAGGGGCAGTGGATAGGGAGGATTCCCATCGCTGTGGTCCAGGCAGAAACACTGCTCTGGGCCAGCTGTGCCCGGACAGTGGGAGCCCAGGGTGTCCCACTGTGCTCCTCGTCACCTCCCAAAGTCAAATTGCCCATTGCTGGAGGCACTTTCAGCCCAGAGTGTCCCCTGCCCTCCCCTCTCTCCATACCAGGTCCATGCAGCCATTCTGTGCCTGTTCCCAGGCTGTTCATCATCTTGACAGAAGCCAAATTGCCACCGATTCAGACAAAATTCAAGGTAAGAAACCAGCAAACTTCACTTGGCTGAACTCAGAGCTTCCCAGACGAGCCCCCAAGGAGTGGGGGACTGCTGGAGGGGGCAGTGCACGGGGGTGGGCTGCCCTGAGCCCCCTCCAGGGCACGTCACTGCCTTTGCCAGAGCTTTCTGCTGCCAAAAAGCAGCAGCAGGAGGTTTTTCCCACCCCAGGGCCCCCAGGCTGAGCACTCTGGAGAGCTGGGGTCCATGGTGGCAACTTGCACCAGTGGCAGATGTCGATGTGTCATTCCCCTTTGCAGCATGCCACAGCGTTCCTCTGTAGGAGAAGCTCCTGGCACACGTTGGTTTGGATGGATGTGGCCTTCAGGAACCATTTGGTCAGTTCAGCATCCCTCTGGGAATGGAGCAGGAGCCCGGTACCACCATCAGCTCCCTGTGCACAGGCTGGGGTGCAGGAGGGACCCCGTGCCCACCCCCTCTGCAGCGAAGGACAGCACCTGCCATGGACCACCCAGCCCCTCGTCCCTGGGGGGACCCTGCTGCCATCAAGGTGGGCTTGTCCTCACGCTTCAACTGCTTCACCCTTTGCCTGCAGAACTCTGCACCTGAAGGCGGCTCCTTCGCCCTGTCTGCCCTTCCCTGCTCCCGCTCTGTGCCCCCAGATCTGCATCTTCTTCCTTCTCTGTGCTGGGAGTGGAGGCCTGGAGAGACTCTGACGGCTCAGGGACAGTCTGGGACCCACAGACACCGGTGCCTGCCCTGAGCTTTGCCACGTGTTCGAGTTCTGATGGCACAGCCACGTCCCGGCTCCTCTCCTGGCTTTTCTCTCTTTGCTCACTGAGCTCCATCCAGCCCTGTTTTTCTTCCCGCCTGTCTCCTCTCCATCACCCTTGCCTCTCTCTGATCCTCCTCCCACCAGGCTAAAGCCATCCTGAGGAGATGTCTCCTGTGACGAGGGGGGTCTCTGAGCACCCCTGTAGGTCGTGCTCCGTTGCTGGCTCATCTCCCGAGGCTCGGTCTGCCTGCAGCTGTGCTGTGCTGCTCCTTGCCTGTCGGGGCTGGCAGGAGAACCTCTCTGTGCCGTGCCCTGGCCGTGCTCCTGCTTGAGGCAGGAAGATGCTGATGGCTCTGCCCGGAGTTCTGGGACAGTGGCAGCTGCTGGGACAAGAGGGGCTGCAGGGAGGACACAGCATCTCAGCTGCCAGGTCCTTCACCAGGACAGCAGCAGGAGGTGGGGGGAGCAGGGTGGGATGTGGGACCTGCAGGACCCCCACAGTTCTTTTTCTCAGTTCGAGCTGACAGGTTAACCCAGGGTTGGAAATCCTGGTGCAGCAGAGCAGGGCCCCCTTCAAAGGCAAACTGTGGGAAAAATGAAAAAAAAAATATATTGCAGGATTCTGCAAGGCACCAAATTTGTGACAGGGTCCTGCCAGTGGCACAGCAGGGGAAGGTCACCTCCAGCACAGTGTTGGGGTCTCTCTTATGTAAAGATATGGAAGAAGGGATGGAGAAGGTCTTTTGTCCCTGTTGGCTTTAGTAATGAGGCAAAGCAGAGCCAGTTTCCTGGCTGCCAATGTCCCCCCACCTCCCATTGCTGTGGATGAAGGACCCTGGGTGCTTGTTCTGTACCTTCAGTGCTCAGTCACCCCTTCAGCCACGGCCCTCTCACCTCCCACAGTGGGACACCCCTGAGCCAGGCGGTCTCTGATCCACACGGGTTTAGGAAACCAGCCCACGCGTTGCCAGCGCTGGCTCCGCAGTGCTGATAGCAGGTTCCCAGCGCTAATCCTGACACTAACGTCCTTTTTTTTCCCTTTTTTGGCTTGGGTGTAGCTGCAAAGTGGTTCTTCTTATGAAATTAAAAGGAGAAAAGGTTGCCTATGTGGAATTTTCCTTCTTGGAGGTTTTGAAGTGCTGTGTGTTTTCTCTGTACAACCCTGGAGCAAATCACATCCTCCATCAATGAACCAGTGTTGGTTAACACCATATCATGACATCATTCAAAAACCAAGCTTAAAGCAGAAAGAGCTCTCACAGCTGATTATTTTGTTTAAATTTTAACATTGTACTGATTGTTTTGAGGCATGTTGCTTCCTCCAGGCTCCTTCCTCCTGTGCGGTGCCAAGCTCTGGTTGCAGTGGGGGTTCTGCATGCTAAGAACTACTCTGTGTTCTCTCTCACAGTGAACAGGAGAGGAGGGGTGCTCCCTCCCCAACACCCTCAGCTCTCGTGTGTCCCTTTGTGTCATGGTTGTGTGTTCCAGGCCTGTTAAACTGGTGTTCTTCTCTTCTTGCTGGTGGTGTGGGGCTGCTTCTTTTGTACAGGGTGGTGAGTTCCTCATCGGCGGCAGCTTGAGAAACCGGTGTGGAATGTGGAGTGCTGGGGACAGCACGGCTTCCCTGGGGACAGCACGGCTTCCCTGGGGACAGCACGGCTCCCATGGCTGTGCCCCCCTGGGTGCTGCCACTACCCCTGGGTGCTGCCACGCTCTCTTGCTCGCTGGCTCGCTCCTTTCCCGGTTTAACTCTGTGCTTTCCCTTTAACAGAAAGACAAGCGCGACACTTCCAACTTCGACAAAGAGTTCACCCGGCAGCCGGTGGAGCTCACGCCCACGGATAAACTCTTCATCATGAACTTGGACCAGAACGAGTTTGCTGGATTCTCCTACACCAACCCCGAGTTTGTCATTAACGTGTAGTCGCAGTGCCAGCCCTCTCCTCGCTGCCCCAACTCCAGGTCGCCTTGTACATACCGACACTAGTCTTCCGGGATTAGCAGTGCAGACACACATTCCCTCCCGCCAAACACGCCGACCGCTTCTCCTAGGAGGCCTCTCCATGTCCGTGCCACTCGCTAGCTTGGTTTCCCTAGCCGGAGGTGTCCGGGGTGCCAGTTACCGATCAGTGATACTTCTAGGAACTGTAGTTGGTGGTGACTAATAGAGTTTTCAAACAGAAATATACCAAATTGCTACAGTCTCTGTAATTTTTGCAGTGGAATGCTGAGATCCCAGTGACCCAGCTACTCCCAAAGCGTTGCTGTGGAATGCTAAGCATGGTTGATCGCTTAAAGCGTTGTGCTGAAGCTTGCAATGAGTGTGAGCTTGTCTTAGAGGAGCCTTTTGTTCAAGACATGGGTACATTTGATCAGTGTGGAAAAATCTGCTTATAGACCTATATTTTTCAATGCATTGTCTATAGGGTCAGCCCGGCTCTCTGGAGTGTCCTCCCCCACCATCCGCCTTCCCCGTGCTCGGGCATTACAACTCCAAACCAATCCCATGCCAGTTCTTGTAAATCAGAGCAAATCTTTTTCTAAGTGAAAGGTGGGGGTTTTTTTGTAACATCTGGAACAGTTTGCAGTTTTGATACGCTCTGTCAGCACTCGCATAAATCTTTCGCAGACACTGTCGAGATGTAACAGCTCTGTAAAGGATATTAATATTCTACCAAAACAGAACACATTTATATTCTCGGTTTACAATTTACCAACTGAAAACACGCCCAAGACCAAAGGGCTGCACTGAGGGCTATTTATAACGGAAACTTTTCTACTTTACACCCTCTGCTATTCTCTTCCAGGCTCCAAACCCATGGATTTCACAGGCATCTTGATTTCCCTGATTTCCACCAAAATTCCTGGGGGTTTTAGTCAGTAATCCAGGACCTTCTGCATAATTTAAAAAAAAAAAACTATGAATGAGAAGAGACAATTTTGTAGCTGTTCGTGAGGCAGAGCCGTGGTGTGTGGGAGGGCAGGGGTGGGCAGGAGGAGGCAGGGGTGAGCAGGGGCTGGAAGGAGGGGACAACAACAGGCAGGAGCAGGCA